CACTTCCGAGCCAATGTTGAACACCTTGGAGCCACTTTCTTCAACCCCAAACCACATATTTGTGTTGTACACACATGGGAGGACCCTAAAAGTTTATGGCCGGCCAGAAATGCTATTTCACCCTTTTGAACCCCTCCATCCGAGCCAATGTTGAACACTCTTGGGCCACTTTCTTGAACTTTGAACCACATATTTGTGATGTACACACTTGGGAGGATCCTAAAAGTTGGTGGCCGGCCACTAATGTTACCTGACCCTTTTGACCCCCCCTAGAAATGGCTTGTTCTCTCTCCTGTTTTAGAGTTTCCAAATTCGAACCACAGGGTTATGAAGAGGAGACCTGGGAGGCCACCAATATGTGGTGGCCGGCCACTAAAGCAACTTGGCCTTTTTGACCCTTGGCCGGCCGGCTAGGGGAGGTGGCCGGCCGGCCACATGCAAGCCCAAAAACCAGCCGGCCATTTTCCTTGTGCCAGGGACTTTACAGCTGTATAGCTGTTTCCCCCAGAAAATATTTGAATCCGGGGGATATTTTGTGGGGGAAAGCCTTGGCCCTTTTTCCCCCACCCTTTCCTTTCATACTCCCTCTCCTTTTGATCCTTATAACCAGCTGCAAGGCTTATTTGGAGGGTGAGAAAAATTGTCTTCAAGTCTTGCATCCAAATCTCCCTCTATCTCTCTCATTTTCTCAAAAAACATCCAAGTTCTACACCTCATTTCTTCATCACCACCAAGCACCACCACCACCACTCCATTTCCAGCAACAAGGAGGGCTCCTCAGAGGCTAAAGGTGCTGCAACTTGGTCCAAGAAGCAACCAAAGAGTGGTCTACAAGGGTGAGTTGCCATTTCCCCCTTTTGAGCTTATTTTTGCAACATTTCTTAGCCATATATGCTTACTGTTTTGAGCTCCGGCCCTAACTGAAAGGGCCTTCTTTTGAGCTCATTTTTCTTGTTTTATTAAGGGCTCAACCCTGTTTGAGCCCCCATCTTGCACTTGCTTCAATATCTCCCTTGAATGCCATTTTCTTGCATGCTTTGGCAGCCCATTATTCTTCCATTTTTGGGCATTTACAGTACTATAAAAGTCTTATTTTTACCTTCTTAACATTTTTATTAAGGGTCTTTGCTGTTTGATGATATTTTGCATACTTTGTGTTTATAGCCACTTTGAGACTCATTTTGCATTGCATTTCTAGCATGTTTGTATACTGTTTTGGGGTTTTTACAGTTAATATAAATATGCATATTTTTTGGTCCTCTTCGATGTTGTAGAAGGGAATTTTTCAGTTTGGCTTTGCATATACCCTTGCCTCTTTGGCCACCTTTTGGCCCTTTTCTTGCATAAGAGCTTAGCCATATCTATGTTTGTTTTTAGGGTTTTTACAGTTCTGTAAAAGTGGCTTATTTTTGGGCCCCTCTTCAATGTTGTTGAAGGGCCTACCTATTTGGAGTTAGCAGCTGTGAGTTGCTTCATAATCTCATATTTAGGCGCCATTTTGGCATGCCATTGTTGCCCTATCTTTGCTTGCTGTTTGGCCATGCTTTGAACTGGAAAATGGCTTATTTTGGGGCTGTCTTGCTTCTGTCTTTTCATTCATGATCAAATAATGGATGCTTTGTATAGCTGTAGTTCATTCTATGTGCCTAATTTTGCATTTCGGGAGAGATTCCATGCATCGGGTGTGTTTTCGCCTCATTTCGGGGCTGTTTTTCCCCATATTTCATTGCTGAAAATCCATTAGCATGTTTGCATACCATTTCATGTCATTTGCATTGCGTATGCCATTGCCTCGATTTGCGTGCCTGTGTGCACGCATTTCGAGGCTCTTTATTTTCATCTACCGGCTTCTTATGTGAGTGTGGCTGAGGCTCTCTCATGTTAGTATAAGTCCATGTTGCATTCTATATGCCATTTCATGTCATTTGCATTGCGCATGCCATTGCCTCGGTTTGCGTGCCCGTGTGCACGTATTTCGAGGCACTTTATTTTCATCCACCGGCCTCTTATGTGAGTGTGGCTGAGGCTCTCTCATGTTAGTATAAGTCCATGTTACATTTTTCATGCCATTTTAGCCATATTGCATTGCGTATGTCATTTTCTCGATTTGCGTGCCCGTGTACACGCATTTCGAGACATCTCATTTTCATAGCATTGTGTATGTTAGGACTATATCTTAGTTGCATTCATGCATATCATGCATATTGCATCGTGTCCGGGATAGGAGTTAGCCCGGGCACGGGAAACGATGTGCGTTTCGTACTCCGAGTGACGGAACGTGTCTCAATTCCAAGTCACCGACACTCCGGATCATCCATGATGGAGCTAGGTTTTTGTTGCGTTTATACGTGCATTCATTCTATATTGAGTTGCACATTCGACCCCTCGGCCATCATGCCTCGGTATGCGTGATTGGTGGCACGAGGATCGAGGCATGCATATATTTGTGAAAATACATTGCTATGCCCCTTTCCTGCTCTCTGTTGCAGCAAGATGAAGAATCAGCAACTTTTCAGAGCTTGGCACGCTTTCCAAGAATAACTGCTAAACAGAGGCTAATTGGGGCATCCCGGTGGATTTTCGCGCAAGGCAGCCTAAACATACATCATTCATCAGAAGCAAGGCAGTCCCTGGCTTGCACGCCAGTTTTACAGTTTTCTTAGTTAATTTATTAATTAATTAGGAATTTGTATATTATTCGGGCTGTAATATTTGGACTGTAATATTCTTTTATTCGGGACTGTATATTTATTCGGACCCTCTGCGCGAGGGCAATGCTGTAATAAGTGTGGGTGTGTGTGTTGTATGTCTTCCAACCCCACGTCTTTCTCCCTTTTATTTATCCGCTTATGATGGTTAGATTATGGCATATTTCAATTAGCAGACAGTATGATAGCATGTTTGCATCATTCTTCTGTTTTTGCATACACCGGGCACGGCGCATCATACTAACTGCATTGTACTTTCAATTCCAAATTGAATACATGATAGTTGTAGCATTTCATATGCCATCTTAGAATAGCCGAGCCTGCTATAGTTGCATTTTGTATGTGTTGCATTAGGCATTTCTGTATACATAGGATCATGCACATGATTTCTAATGTAATTCTTTGTTTTGGCTTGGAGTACCCGGTAAGTTTTATGCTTTAGCATCCTTGCATGCATGTGAGTGTTGCCATGAATAGCATGCTTACCATGAGAGCATGTCATTAGAAGTATGATAAATGCCAGGAAATCGAAAAATACCGAGACGCCAGCGATGAACAGCTGCGTCTCTCTCCGCAGGACCATGCTCTCGAGTGAGGCAACCACTTCGAGTAACCCCTCAGTGTACACTCTGGGAGGCTGCAGATGTAAGTGCAAGTCATCAGCGAATGAATGAATGTCTAAATATCTGAGTGATAAATCAAAACTGTAAAGCATACCGGTGGTGAGTCAGGGTCACTAACGTATCGATGATCAGGCAATGGATGCTCTAATGGAATCGGGTAGGATGTCCCATACCGCCAGCTTGTCAGCTCAGTTGGAAGATCCGGCCACCCAGCATACTGATAAGTCGGGGGGATCTCTCTAGCCCCACCCCTCGATGTGCCGGCTCCGTTGGTCGAAGGAATGTCTATAGTAATCTAGGCTAATAACCGGAATAAGAACACACAAAGTTTTCAAAAATAGATATCATGGTTAGTAGAGGCCGATCTTTGATCGGGCAAGCGGGGGAGCTCACGAAATGACCTTTCCCAATCGTACCCAAGTTCCCGAGCCGAGGCAACTTTGGTGATGACGGACACGTGGCCTTTGGCACCGAGTTAGGGTTTCCTAAATTTCTCATTTAAAAAACATTTAGGTGGCGACTCTGTATCTGGCAAAGCAGTCCATGTTTGGTACTTCTTTTCAAAAATCTATTTCTCAAAATGATTTGCCGGATTTGGACTCTTTGGTTCAGACTTAGAACCGTGACACAAATTGAGTCCGAACTGTAACGAGGTCCCCTGCGGACTTGTTACACATACCCCCAGTGGGGGTCGCGCCCCCACTGGCTGAAAACTTAAAAAAAAAAAAAACAAATTTTTTTTTTGGACCAATCCGGGACCGACACCTCACTGGGGGTCGACCCCCAGTGGGGGTAGGAAGCATTAATCCTTTGAGAAATAGCTTTTCTAAACCTTTTTTTTTTTTTTTTTTCACTTAGCGTGTTGAATGATTAGTAAAAAATACGTTTTTTTTGACTGAAAATTTTTTAAGTGAAACTTTTTTAAAAACTTGAAATTGCTTGTTTTCAATTTTTAAAAAAATATTTTTCAAAAAATTTTAATTCTTATTTTTCGTGTTTTTTTGTTTTTACTGAATTTTTTTTAATATTTTAAGCAATTTTTTTAACTTTTTAGATACACCTAACATAAATATACTTAAAAATTAAAAAAATTATAAATTTGTTTTAAAAATTCACTAAATACCAAAAATACAAGAATTCAGTACATTTTTATATTTTTATGTATTTATTAATTTTTTATAATATTTTTTCACAATTTTTTTACTTTTTAGATACATCTAACTAAGATGCATCTAAAAAAGTCAAAAAAATGTTTAAAATTTTAAAAATATTCACCAAAAACAAAAGAATACGAAAATAAAAAAACTTAATTTTAAAAAACTTAAAGGTTGTTTGGGGTATCCTAAATAAGTGTATTTTTTGTTTTTTTAGACTAAAAAATTGAAGAAGAAAATATGAATGTTTGGGTTAACTTTTTAACTTTCTATAGAAAAATGTGTAATAAAAAATTATAAAAATTGATTGGTAAGAAAAATTAGGATAGAGAGTTGTGCAGTCATAATTGTTGATTTTTGATGAATAATGTTAACTTTTTAACTTTTTGAGTAATTTTTTAACTTTTTTTTTATAATATGTCAGCCTTAATTCAGAAAATTCAAACCAAACGAATTGTTTTTTTTTTTATAAAAAAAAAAATCTAAAGAAAGGCAAAATTTATGTTTCCGATTCTTCGGTCTCGCAGAATTGATTATATAAATACTGTACAGATAGAGTGATACGGATCATATGTAGAGAAAGAGAGAGAGAAGACAATGGCGACTCTGAAAGTTCCTCCATCAGTTCCATCTCCGGCCGAGGACTCCGAGCAACTGAGAAAAGCCTTTGCAGGTCTTCACTTTTGTGCCTCTTTTTGCTCATTTTTCAACACCCAAATTTCGCTTTCATTTTCATGTTTGATAATGTTTGTTAGCTTTGTCATTATCAGATCTGTGAGTGAACATTTTTGCACTCACTATTGGATCTACTTTGATCTTGATCTTTCTCACCAATGTGGATATACATATCTATACCTGTATGAAAATGTGTATCTGTGTGGATGATTGATTGAATTCTAGTATTAGTTTGATTATGCTTAAATGATCATTGATCAGTTTCTTCTGATGCGATTTCCTTCAACATAACATATTGAGCATCATCGGATTTGATCATTTTAATTTTTCCATTTCGTGTTAGATCGTTGCTTAATTGTCAGGGAAAACATCATACTATATATGAAAGAAGTATGAAATCATGTTTCTGATCTGTCACTGTTTTTGTTTTAACATGATCGGTTCTATGTTATATATTCAGTTCGTTATAGGTGAAGGAATCAGACTTTGTTTGCTGCATATCCATCTTATTGATTTATGCGTTGTTATAAATGGATGATTCAGAATTTGATTCCATCGTTTATGTGATTGATTTATGCTCTGTCTGGATTATGTATTTGTGGAGGGAAAAGAAAATTGAAAGAAAAAGTAAAAACAAAATGGTTCTACATTTTCACTTTTTTCTTCATTTTCCTTTGCCCTCCATGAATTTCTTTGGATTATGAATTTGTGGAGAGGACTAAAAGAAAAAGTGAAAAAACAAGATTCTAATTCATTCACTTTTTTCTTTCTTTTTTCCTTCACAACTTTAGGGAGTGTTTAGGAACACATTCTCCACAATTAGTATTGTTTGTTTGATAGACTCTATATGGTGGTTTTAAATCACCAAATGTTGTAGAAACTACAATAAGTCATCTGATTGTCAATGATTGGTTCTAATTTGTTGTTGAATACTAGTTTAGTGACATGATGTTTACTGATTTTTAGGTTGTGGATGTTTTATATTGAGGGTATTATTTTATATAGGTTCAATCACAACCGTGTGAATCCTTGATCGGACAAAGTTTGTAATTTGATCTGGACTGATGTTTTGGGTTTGCCCCTGAACTTATGCTGATATGTGTTGGATGGACTAATGTTGAGCTGATTTGATCAATATTATTGCAGGATGGGGAACAAATGAGGCTTTGATTATTCAAATTTTGGCTCACAGGAATTCAGCCCAACGCAACTTAATTCGGAAAACTTATGCCAACACTTATGGAGAAGATCTCTTGAAAGAACTGGACAAAGAACTTTCAAGTGACTTTGAGGTCAGTCTTGGTTGTACATTTTGTACTGCTTGAATTCTAATTCTACCTGCTGCTATTCAATATTGCGGAATAATTGTTGTGCCAAAGAAGTCTTCATATTGTTTAATTTGTGGCTTCTTAGTCTCATTTACATTCTCTGGCTAGCTATTAGTTGATTTGAGGGTAAGTGAGGAAGCATTAGCCTCACTGTTAGAAATTAGGATTGTTAATGCTTGCTTTTCCTTATTGTTTGTGTCAACAGAGAATAGTACTGCTATGGACACTGGATCATGCTGAGCGTGATGCATTCTTGGCTAATGAAGCTACAAAGAGGTTTACTGCAAGCAACTGGGTGCTCATGGAAATTGCGTGTAGTAGATCTTCACATGACCTGTTTATGGTGAGGCAGGCATACCATGCTCGTTATAAAAGATCCCTTGAAGAAGATGTTGCATATCACACAACTGGGGACTACCGTAAGGTACATCAACAAACTTCATTGTCACTAGATTAGGACTAGTAGTTGATGAATCTGTTATAACGTTAAATTTGGTGAATATCCCATTCTTTTTAGTGAAAGGGAAGTGGTTTTTGTTTAAAAGCTCATCTGCTGGTAGAGGAGGCATTGTCTATATAGCATGCATCACAATTATTTCTAAGGAAAATTTTCAATAAGTTCTACTTTCTATATTTGATATATCCCCCTTTTTCTATTAATGTGTCTTGAGCATGATCTCCCATTGTTACACCTGGTTTCTCACCATCCCACTGTTACGCCTTGTTTCTTACCATTGGCTTGGATCCGGGATGGATGGAAAAATTAATTGGACAGATGTATTTGATTACACAAAGCTGGTGATATTATAAGCATGCTGATACAAGAAAAATATGGAGTTTTGGGATTCTGTGCAACTTAGGCCTCATATCTGAATTTCACAGGTTGTATTTGCAACTGGATGAAATACTTGTGGACCATTTATTTTGTCTCCCTAAGATTTCAACAATATTATGTTTATTCGCATTCATTTCTTAAGTATTCCTTCAAATGAAAAAAAAAAAAAAAAAAAACGAAAATTGTCTTTCTTTGTTGTGACTGCAAATCATGAGTTGGCTGTACATTTTTATTTGGTATTAATTTTTGGCACAGCTTTTGGTGCCACTTGTGACTTCATTCCGGTACGAGGGAGATGAGGTGAACATGACATTGGCAAAATCAGAGGCCAAGATACTTAATGAGAAGATGTCTGGGAAGGCTTATAATGATGAGGAGGTTATCAGGATTCTGAGTACACGGAGTAAAGCACAGCTCAATGCAACACTTAACCACTATAACAATCAATTTGGAAATGCTATCAACAAGGTTTGTACATCTTCTTTGAGTCTTTCAGCCACTACCAAGATAATGTTGAGTCATCCCGTACCATTTTTGAAGCTTAAAGAATGGAATTCATACTCATTTCATACGTAGTCATTTTACTCTTTTATTTTATTTTTTATTGTAATTAACATTTAGCAGGAGCCTCATGCATGTTGCCCTCCTCAACTCTGCTTTATTGGGAATCTCATTCAATAAGTCACCCGTTTATTTAATTAATACTTGGTTGTTTTACCCTTACTGCTAGGGGTACGCGAGGGAGCAATTTTGAAGGACTGATTTTTATTAAAGATTCACTTTAAACTTTTCTATGAACTTCAATTTTTTTCTATCTTGTCAGTACTTAGCGATGGTGCCAAAAGCTCCTATCAAAAGGGCATTTGAAATGCGCCTCTAAAAATGTTGTTAGATACCTTTCTTGTGCCATATTATCCATCCTGTCAACATTTGAACTCTGCTTTGTATTTCACTTACGTTGTGTTTGGTTGAGGGATTTAAGAAGGGAAAAAAAAGTGTATGAAACTAAATGAAATGTAGGTCTATTTTATTTACATTTCACATATCTTTTCCCTTTCCGTTTCCAAATCTCTTTTCAAATTCTCCAACCAAACACAGCATTAAGGATTTCGAATGATGACTTGCTCTTGTTTATTCAGTCGTTGGCTGTCTGTCGCAGGATCTGAAGACCGATCCCAAGGATGAGTTCCTCGCTCTACTTAGAGCAACAATAAAGTGCTTGACTTGCCCTGAGAAATACTTTGAGAAACTTCTTCGATTGGCTATCAACAAGCTAGGGACAGATGAATGGGCTCTCACTAGAGTTGTTGCAACTCGTGCTGAGGTTGACATGCAGCGCATTAAGGATGAATATCATCGGAGGAACAGTGTCCCTCTGGATCGTGCAATTGCTGGAGACACTTCTGGAGACTACGAGAAAATGCTTCTGGCTTTGATAGGGCATGGGGATGCCTAAGCAAACTTTCCTGGTTCTAGAAGAGCTACTTTCTGTGTGTGAATGCGGTTTGTTAATTCTGCCAAAGGGTTTGTTTTGCTTGAATTCATGTCATATCCTGAGTCTTTTTTGTCTACTTTTGTATCTTGTGTTTGAGTGATTTGCTACTGGTTTCTCTTCCCCATGATACAATTATGCTTGATCCAAATGGGGGTAGGGTCCAATAAATTTATGATGGCCATCAGTTGTTGAGCAACCCATGGTCGTCAATGTCATGCATCTTTCTTTCTGCTTATTTCCATCAGTGTTCTGCTTGTCATAGCCTAAAAGTGCCTAAAAATGCACAATATGCGTCTAACCTTGAACTGAAAATTAGTCACCAGTCCGGGTATGGCCAACCAACCCAACAATAAAGCTGCACAAAAAGAGATGGATAAAACGATCAGCGTGTTTGATTGCAGTATTGAAAAAGCGGATAAGGGTATGGGGCCCACTTCAATTTTAGTCGTTTTTGGTGCGTGAGCAATTTTATGAACTCAGACAAAAATAACTAGAAATTATCCAGAATTTGAAATCGAAGGTTTCGGTTCATTGATGATAAAGTCCTGCACATATAGCTTTGATTTTACACCATAAATTTAGCATTTTTGAGCACCATAAATTTAGCATTTTGGGCATTTTTTAAATTTGATTTTTATGATCCATAGACTTTTTCTCAGTGTGCAGGACTAATCGTTGTTAGATGTACTCCACGGTCCCCTGTTTTCTAAAGGATAATTTTAAGGCAGAATAACACAACAGAAGGTATGGGAAAAATTATGTTCACAAATGAAAAAGTTTATGATTTTAATTAGGGTAAATTGTAAATACATCTCTTAAGGTTTTATTAAAATATGAATCGTTTCCTATGGTTTTGAAAAATTACATTTCACCCCTTGAGGTTTTTAATTTTATAATAAATTGCTCATTTTATTAATAAATTATCAAGTCAATTAATAGTTTTTAATGATGTTAAAAATATGTTTCAATTAACAATTTAAATAATTTTATTATTGTATAGGAGAGTAATTATAAATTTTATTTCTTTAGTTAATTCTGTTAAATAAAAAATTCTAATAAGAATGTATTTGTAATTTTTCAAATCACATGGACTAATCTGTATCTTAAGCAAACCTTATGGGGTGTATTTGTAATTTATCCTTTTAATTATTAATATTTATAATATTTTTCACTTTTTTTTGTAAATATTTCTCAGTGACATTGTGTTAATGTAATTCCCCTTAATTTTAATATTAATGTGGGTAATTAAATAGAAGAAAAAAGAAAAAAAACGATTAAATAATAGGTTGAAGCACTAATAAATCCTAAATTATAAACTTACGCACAACTTAATCCTACATATTTTCCTTTAAACTGAAAAGTCCTAACAGATATGAAATGGCATAATTGTCCTTCATCATGTGCTTGTTTTATGTTTTTAATAGAGGGCAATATAGGTTTTGGCTATTGTCGAAATTACTCTTATGGACATAAAGCACACTAGAGGTTTTTATAGTTTTCCCTCTTTTTTGATTGAATCTTTGAATCTATGTACAAAACCATTGGTGATCGACATTTCCATATTTAAACATTAACATGCTTGTGGATTGAAACCCTAAATGTGATTTCTGCATTTCCGATGAGAGGGAGTTTGAATTTGACATTCGTGTTTGACGAGTAACCTTAATCGGACGTATATCTACATTATGCACATCAAGTAAGAACGTTGTGGATCGCGATGGACAAGGGTTATCTTCATCATGGCCGTTGATTACATAAACATCGAGGGACGTCATCTGTCAGTGTACCATACGCTGCCGATTTCAATGAAACCCAAAGGTGTGTAGCCCTGCAAATTGAAATTGTTTATGCATTTTAGGAATATTAACTGTGGTTTTTGAGTTTTGAATGTTGGGTTTGTGAGTTGTTGTTTTATTTACATATTCGACCAAATTAATTTGCAACGTTAAGTTAGGGCAAAGCTTCTGTGTGTATATTGAAATTGGGAATGTACATGTCGTTGGTATTCAAACATTGGTCGATATGGATGATGTTGTATTTGTTGATGTTAATGGGCTAAGTTGAAAACGTAGTAGTTGGTATAACGTTGTTGTCCTGCGCTATGTTTTTTAATAAATCTGGTTCACAACGTGAGTGTTGGGCATGATTTTGTATTTGTGTGTTATGTGTGGTGGTTGTCATGTGTAGCTTATTAGAACGTCTGGTAAGTGTTGATCATAATTGATTCAATCAATGTGATCGGTGCAATGGTTGTGCAGGAACTTGAAAGTAATTTAATGGTAGCGAAATGCATGTTGGTATGGTCGATTTGACTATGAGGGGTTTGTTCGTACATCTTATTTTGTATTTCAATTTGTTTACTGCTTTCGTATGCGATAACCGAAAGAGGAATGTGTAATGTAATTTGCATGGTGGTATTTCATAATGTGACACCGGTCTATACGTTTGTCGAATGTCACGTCCTTTGCCTTTGTGGGTGTTTGGTGTGAATGTGATGTTTGTTTGGTGAATTGGTTTGGTATGGTGTTGTGGGTGTGGCGTGGAGTTTTTAAAATTTCATGTTGGCAATATAACGTTGACAAAGTGGTGTAGGCAATGGTGCCATTAGTGAAAATGTGCATGTGATCATAAAAATAGGGAGGTGTGTGATATAAGTTGTATGACCCCAGGGGAAAAACGTTCCCATATGCTGGTTGATGATTTAGCATCAACCAGTAACATAATATGGTTTCAGTGTTTTGTTTTATGAATTTGGCATTGAACAAACTTTGGCCCTCGTGGTTGTTTTTTTATGCGTCGTATTGTACTCCATGTTGATGTTTATGTCGTTGTTATTATTGCATACATTGGACTAGCATATGTTGGTAAAGCAATGTTTGGATCATTGCATTTAAGTTGTTATGATAATTTCCATTATCGGCTTGTTATTGCATGTCTTCCTGTTTTGCAGTTCAAGTTGGTTAAAAAAATGTAATGTTCACACTGTTTTTTTGTGTGGCAGGTAATGCTCAAGGACAGTCCCACCAGAAAGTACAAGTTGTACGAATGCGAGGTTCCGGCATGAAAAAATGGACATCGACACAGTTAACAATCAAGAAATAAGCAAAGTTACCGTTCAAGTGTAATAAACCAACATCAGCCATAAAAGAGATTCCTCGGGTCGACACGTCCAAGCTTATGTACCATTTGAATTGCCGGTGTTATCAAAACCGTGTTAGAGGTGCGCCTGAACGATGGTCACATCCAGCAGCTCAAGAAAACTCCATTCTGGCTAATGCTCGAAGCTATCCGCAACCACAAATTGCAGCCAAACACGTTCAAGAAGTGTGATGAAATAGTTTGCTGCATAATACCGACGTACAATGTAGCAGATGAAAAATTTTACATTGGCGGGCAAGGACTAGCATTAAAAAATAGTGACATTCGGCTAATTTTCGGTGTTCAATGTGGTAAGGAATGGTTAGATGTGTTGTACGCGCCTAAACCCCCATCTGATTTGTGCAACGGAGTTGCCTAAATGTGGGATGAATATCATCCAAACTAATCAAAGATTTATCGGTTGAAGCGCTGCAAGGTAATGCAGAACGTGATGAGGAGGACATCGCAAAGCTCATGTGTTTGTATATTTGCACAAAGTTGTTGTTTGTAACAACCAGAGAGTCGATAGGTTGGTCTTTTGTACGTGTAATTGACAAATTGGATACGTTACGACAATATAATTGAACAGCGACAATCCGGAACACTCTAATTAATTCACTGAATGAGTTTCACCACAGGCTTGAGAAGGTGATCGGATGTGTCATAGAGTTGCTGGTACATAAACTCAAACCCATTGCCCTTGAACACCCCCACACACAATCAATATGCATGAATGCAGGGTTTACATTAAAAATGAATAATATGTGCGCCTTGGTTTGTTTTGGCAGTTTCAAATGTGCGAACACACAACGCTTCTGGACCCAGAACGACCTATTGCAATTCCAAGATTTTGTAGATGGAACATTGCGCTGCTCATAGCAAAGATGAAAGGACTTAACTTGATAGCACCAGATTCCTTCAAGGTTTGGGTTTATTTTAAGCGTACACCGTGTGCGGGAAAATAAGTTACTAATTTGGTCGTGTTGATAATGTTAATACATTATATGAACACTAAATTTGATCTAAACGTCATGTAATGCGATGTGTTTACCGCAAAAGAAATTCAGTCAAGCATTGTACCTACCCATATGTTTGTCACAGAATACTTAGTACTTTGCCAAAAAAAAAAGAAAAAAAAAACATAAATAAAATAAAATGATTACATGCAATACGTTTGCACTCGCTTCACATGAAAATGACATATAATGCATTGTTTGGCAGAATTCAATAAATTTAGACATGTGTTTGATTGGGTTTCAATTATACGTTAATTGTGCCCTATGAGCTGTTAATGATGGAATGCATTCCCAGTTTCAGTTGTATTGCGAAATTGTATCATGTGGCACTTGCTTTTGACAACCCTTTGTATGTATTTCTATATATTAATGATATATAGCAGAGGGCATAGAGTGAAATGTAATTAGGTCTAAAGCATAACAGTAGTTATGTTGACAATAGATATATTGAAATATTGTTACTCAAAGTATGTATCTACATAAAGTTGCATACGTTACACAAACATAATGAAACACATTAAGCAATGAAATTGGTGAACACGTTACAATGCACTCGCTTTTGATTAAATTGATATGTTAGCCACTATTCTGCCCATAAAGTAATTGTAGCCATGTGCTCGATTTGGTTCTAAATGTACATTATGTGTTCACTATGGTTTGGTCGTTAGTTGTTTTAATCCATTACATACAGTATGTGTTGGCTAATATGTTGTATTGTATTTAACGTATTTATAATGTGATGTTGTGTTTGCAGGTGAATTACAATAAACTTGGTGGTACAATACTTGAGTGATTCTACGTGAATCATGCAATTGATGACCATGTGGTAAAGTAGAATGTAAAGGGCGAGTTGGGGCTGTGACAGATGAAAAGAATGGTGATATTGGTGATGTTGCCATCGAAATGGATGACGTTGAGCTGAGTTTGGATTATTAGAGACCGGACTCCCCAAATGGTGGTCACGTTGACAGTAAACCCACAAATGAGGTCGGCGTGAATGTTATGGATGTTGTAACTATGCAAGGGCATGTGTGTGTGAACATGGATGTAGCAGGGGAGGGGTGGCCGAACCTGTTTCCTGATCTGCTTGAATTGTCAGGCACTGCTGGTGATATAAACATTATGGGAGTGGAGACAGAATTGATAACTGCAAATCAGAAAATTAAAGAGTTGGAGGATGCAAACAGAATCAAGACAACGCAGGTGAATGAGTTAGAAGGGAGAGTAGCTGTCGTGGAACGTCTGATCGGTGCACCAATTTATTGGGTTTGACATCGTGCTTCTGTTGAAAGACGAAGAGATAGTGCATTTGAACGCATTGGTGTTGCAACTGAAGGAGACTGTCACAACGTTGGAAAACCAAGTGTTTGAACACGAAGCACATGCAGTGACGTAATCAGCCACGAATACAACGTCAAGTAAGAGGCCATCGTTTGAGCAACAGTTGGATAAGTGTGGTAGTTCTACCCACAACCTAAACAGTGGCAGTCAACACCATTCGGGGGTCTACAAAATTGAATGATGAACCTGTTATTCCAGTGGGGTCAGTGAGCATGGGCATCGCAGACGACGTGGAGGTTGAAACCCCATCAAAGTCCCCCCTTTTGGGTATCCCACAGTTGCCTACCCCTCCGGGCTGCCCATCTCTAACCATTGAAAAAGCCAATTTGTCTACCATCGTGGATGCATATAAATGTGGTAACAATTACAATCCAATGTGTCATCATTAGTCCGACGCGTTAAAAACAAATCGAGGCACGAGTTAAGGTTAGTATATATATGTGAATGAACTTATTGACTTCACATACCAGACATAAGAGTAATGACAATCTGTAATAACCCCGATCCACAATTAGCCACTAATTGGTAGTTAAGGATGTTAATTAAGTGAATAAAATAAATTATGGGTTTATTATATGATTTGCATGATATTTGGCTTACTGTCTGTTATTTGTAGAAATATCTGTCTGAGATTCCACTTTAATATGTAAATTAAAAGCCTTATCGGCATCCGAAAACGAAATTGACTACACCGATATGTTATTTGGAATTTTTAGAACCATATGGCTAGTTTTATTAAAAATTGATTCAGTCTGATTCGTTAAGTCGCATTTGGAAAGCCTTATATTCTAATTAGTGTATTTTAGCATCATAGCTTTATATGTGACCCTTAAGCTCATTTTTGAGCTCAATTCTTTTGCCCCCCTTAGTGCTAAAATCTGGTGAAACATTTTAGAGAGAGAGGGAGCACAATTCTAGTGAGAGAAAGGAGGAGATTAAAGAGAAATTGAAGACCATAGCTTGAATTGATCAAAGATTGTGCTAAAACAAGAGTAATTCAAGACTCTAGGTAAGATTACAACCTCTAGATTGTGTAACTAAGTCATTTAGCATGAAATTTCTTCAAGATTATGAGTTTGATGTGTATATTGAGCATAGAATAGAGATTTGAGTTACAATTCATGCATGCATGTACATTTTCTCACAAATTAAGCATGAACTCTAAGAATTTTCTCTTGCATGTTTGAAATTCATCTTTATTTGGAGATATCATCAAGTTTTAAGTTGTTTTGTGGTATTTGATTATGTTTTGAGAAGTTTGATACAAGAAAAATTCATGCATGTTGTGTTCATGAACATTCATCATGTTTTAAGTTGAAATTGTGAGTTTTTAACAAACTCTTGGGCCATGATTTTATGAAATAATTCTTAATTCTTCATGTTTTACAAGTTTACTTTGTTATCTCAAGTTTTGGGGCCCAAGAAATGTGTTTTGCATGGTTGAATTCAAGTTTTGAGCTTGAAGGTGCAATTCACGCTCGAGTGACCACTCTGAGTGTGTGCACTCCGCTCGAGCGACCAAAAGTCCGCTCGAGCGTGAATTGCAAGCTCCCAGAAGTTTCATGTCTTTAACAGATCGCTCGAGCGAAGGAATGTGCGCTCGAGTGACCATTCACATTTTGCATGTCCACTCGAGCGAGGAAAGCTACGTTCGAGCGTGGACCTTATTTTCAGAAAATTTGACGAAGTGTTCCAAGGCATGTTTTGGCATCCTCATTGCATCTTAGGCATTCCTAAGCCTTAATTAAGCCATAGCAATGAGGTTATGGGTTAGAAACACGCTAAGAAAAGAATGTACCAAGTTCCGAGACTGCAAGTGTGTGTGTCTTTTAGGCAATGTGATAAAAAAGAATAAGAACCATGTAATGAAAGCTAAGCCTTAATGGCCACTTGAATGTGTAATGATAAGACATGTTTGTGTTATGTATTTTGTGATTGTAGGTCAAGACTCGAGGATTGATTGACCGCTTACTGGAACAACTGTGAGTAACGTTATTGTAAAGATACGTTTATATGAATTATGTTCCAAATGAAATGTGATAAGCTATGTTTTCTAAAATGATATTTGTTTTTGTGAACGAATATTCCGTATTTGAAATCTATTATGGCATCCATAGATAGTCCCAAGTCATGGGGGACGGCATGAAAATGCGGGTCCATGACATTCATGTGTTTACGAGATCTCGTTAGCCACTTCATTGTGGTGATATGTATTTAATCGGTATCCAGAATCGATTACTCTAGTCGGAAGACGTTCTGTGATGTGTTCTATGGGATGTACCATTATTATGTTCTAATATGGAAATGATTATGCTATGATCTGTTTTTCGCTTATGATATGTTCAAATTTCGTTCACTAACCCCTTTACCTTAATGTTATTCATTGGGCTTTAGCTCATTGTGTGTATATATATGTATAGGTGAGCATTCTGGAGCCCGAGCCTGAAGGCCTTTGTCTGGATCTGTGTTCTGTTGTCAGCCAACCATTGTGCCTCACGTGGAGGTTCCCGAAGTGTCCTGTGTTCAAGTTTTGTTAGTTCTATGTATGACTTGTCTTAATTCTGTTGGCTGGACTTAAAATACTGTAATGTGTGTGGGTATAATGTATGGTTGACTACCGGTTATGTATATAAAGTTTTAAATATTCTATTTCATATAAGTCAACACAGCTTGATATTTGTTTTTGTGAACGAATATTCCGTATTTGAAATCTATTATGGCATCCATAGATAGTCCCAAGTCATGGGGGACGGCATGAAAATGCGGGTCCATGACATTCATGTGTTTACGAGATCTCGTTAGCCACTTCATTGTGGTGATATGTATTTAATCGGTATCCATAATCGATTACTCTAGTCGGAAGACGTTCTGTGATGTGTTCTATGGGATGTACCATTATTATGTTCTAATATGGAAATGATTATGCTATGATCTGTTTTCCGCTTATGATATGTTCGAATTTCGTTCACTAACCCCTTTACCTTAACGTTATTCATTGGGCTTTAGCTCATTGTGTGTATATATATGTATAGGTGAGAATTCTGGAGCCCGAGCCTGAAGGCCTTTGTCTGGATCTGTGTTCTGTTGTCAGCCAACCATTGTGCCTCACGTGGAGGTTCCCGAAGTGTCCTGTGTTCAAGTTTTGTTAGTTTTATGTATATGTATGACTTGTCTTAATTCTGTTGGCTGGACTTAAAATACTGTAATGTGTGTGGGTATAATGTATGGTTGACTACCGGTTATGTATATAAAGTTTTAAATATTCTGTTTCATATAAGTCAACACAGCTCATTGGACAACTATATTTATGTATTTGCTTCCGCTAGCCCCTTAATCTTGTTAATCTGTTCAGAGGCCTGCCGGTTACGATGCTAAACCTATAGGGGCGGGTTTGGGTCGTGACACAATCGTCCAAAGTGAGGATGACCATGATATACTGTGTGGATCACGCATTTGCGCTATACGAAATTCTATATTTTTATGTTGTGTGTCATGTTTGGCTGTCAGGATGTTTTAAACGGTTGCGTCTTACGTAACAATGGAATTGTTGTGACATGATTATGTTAATGTTATTGAATTTTCCCCCACAACAACATAGTCATTTTGCATACAGGATGATATAGGTACCTAAACAGTCCACCAGTGGGTGATGTGAAAATGGCAGACTATGAAAAATAGCATATAGAATTCACTTAATGATGCTCCAACATTGGTTCGGTTGTTAATGTTTGGGTTATTGCCATTACTGCAAATGGTATTGTCAATGTTGATATGACGTGTAGTGAACACAAACAACATGAAGAAAAAGAAAAAAAGAAAAGAAAAAAAGAAACCAATAACTACTAATACAAGAGACACAAATACATTCCCATACAACGAACCCAACTACTAGCAATCCTCTCGTAGCAGTACACAACAATGATAAATGGTGGGAGGGAAAATGAGTGCTGGATATAAAGTTTTTGTTTATTGTAAAACACCAACATGGACCATCATAGAATATTATTGTAATAAACACAAGTGCAAAATCAACATTAACATTATGAAACACTAAAAATGACTCGTTGCCATTTATATAGTATATAAAACGAACAGAATGGAAAAATGATAACATATCTATAGACGAGTGCAACATATTTTGACATGCTTTATTGCAATGTTAATACGTCCAACATAATTTAAAACATAAACAAAGCCATGCAACTTTGGTGGACACTGCCACAAACACGATAGTGTAATATGAGAACACTTAAATAATGTCATTGTTTATAATACGGTAAGGATAAATTGGTTCTTTGCATGTCTTCTTGTTATGGTTGCCCATCTTCCCATATCGGCTACACCGAATACGTAGCATGACCTCACCCCTAGATGGAATCCTCTTCCGTTTTGGCTTACCTGGCGGGCACTTGACAACAGGCGGTGCTATGAGGTAATCATTAGGCATGATAGTGGGTTTTTCAACCGTCAGAATAGGGTAGATGGACTCGGAGTACGATGCTCTGAAATCGCTGACATGGTAATAAGACTCAATTGAATCATATATGTTCCTCCCACTATTATGAAATACAACCACAACGTACGAACACGGGAACCCATTAATCTGCCACTGACAGCACGAACATGTACGCCGGTTAATGTCAACCAATACCGACGGGTGTGAGTGAACCTCATACACATCCTCATCCAATTGACTTATAATCTACGCTTTACTGCATTTGTGTTCGGCCTCCAATTTTTTTTCCATCTTCGGCCAAAGCTAGCTAGGCCAATTGGTAGATTTCACCCTGTGCTTTAACCTTTTCTCCATGATTTGACCCCTAACAGTATCAACCAACTGTGTAATAAGAAGATGACGCGCTTCTCAAATTCAATTGTTGAATGACTTGGATGCTTTTGACGACATCTCACCATATCGCCAACCTCTGCACACACACCACAATCAATTACAACAACAAACAACATCCCAAAAGCGAAAAAATATACCACCACATGTACGTACCTGAAATACGCAACATCTCAATGTTTTGGTTGCAAATCTTTCAAGAACTCCCCCACAATCGCCGGACTACATAATTTCAGAACCTCAATTTTGTTATGTAATGATGTTGCCGTGGGTGCGTATGCACATTCCCGTAACTTCTGCATAAAACCTATTTTTTGCTCAGCATTCATATATTTCATTTGGTCTCTTAGATTCATTTGAAGATTTAGCAAACAAAATGCATGGTGAGCCGACGAAAAAACATACGGTATAGCCTGAAACAGACCAATGTGACGATCCGAGACAAACGCCAACTCCTTACCGCGATCAACAACCTCCGACAACTGACGAAAAAACCATTCCTAGTTTGCTCCGTTCTCCGAATCGACAATGGCAAACGTGACGGGAAACAACCCTATGTTCAGGTGGTAGTTCAAATCACAACAAACACGATTCCACAATCCCATTGACAATGTTAGGCTACCCAAAATATTATTACCAAAGATTAAAACAAATACATACATTAAAAAAAATAACCAAATGCTCAAGTGGTAAACATTACACAACACAACAAACCTGACAATCCACTCTCCCCACATTATAGCACCCAACAAAAGAGGAAAAAAAAGGAGAAAAATAACATGGCATAAACAATGAACACAACATTGACATAATAAAAAAGTCTCACACCACCACAATACACAACAACAGAACCCTAACATCAGTCCATCCAGCAAAAAAAGACAAAAAAGACAAAGCAGCAACATTGAACACATAATTGATATAAAAAAAGTGACCAACAAACCACATCGCACACATTACCTTGATTCCCATCCTTAGTTGTAGCTACAAGCAAAGTACCCTTGAATCTACCCTTCAAAAACGTACCGTCCAAAAATAACAGAGGCCGACAATGCTTGAATCCATTTATGCACGCACGAAATGATATGAAATACCTCACAAATCTTCCAGTTCCCTTCTCGAACTCGAGATTTATGTAGCTATTTGGGTTATTTTCCATCGCTGCATCACTATACCACCTAAGCTGGTCGAACGACACAGCATGATCACCATATACTTCACCCATCACTTTCTCAACTACAAGCCAAGTAACCCGGTAACTAATATCCAGCCCATAGTCATTCTTTAAGTCAAAGACGACATCGGTGGAGCGTGTTAATGGCTGAGCATGCACACGATCCACGACAACATCGGCTACCAAATCAGACCCAATGCGTGGGTTCCTAGCTGTTCGTACAGCCGCACCACACGTGTGCAAACTATTAAACCTCTTCAAACAAAAAATACCGTTTGTTGGTAACACCCTCGCATGTACCAACCACGTACATCCCATCGACGTTGCAAACCTACACACTACTGTGGCACGAACTGAATCATTTTTTACATATTTAAATTGGAACCTACACTCAACAACGTATTTGGAAAGCACTGTCCGAAATTCATTCGCTCCACCCATAAAAAATTGACCCACATTTGTAACACCACTTGCCCACCTAGCCGACAAGTACGTCTTTGATCTATGATGGCAGTACAACGGCAATAGATCCATTCGGTTATCCATATCAAACATCTTGTCACCACTGGTACCCCACCCCTCCTCAAACATGTAACCACCTGCACCGCGATTAACACCGTCTCCTATATTCCGACTTTGAACAAGAACGTCGATATGATCGAGTCCGAAACACTTAGCAACAGACAATAAATTCTGAATATCCTCGTCACACGCAACCTTCAACTTATTATATCTGAGTATGGCAAACAATAACACCACCATCTCAGGGCCAACCCATCAAACTTCCCGCATATCCCATTGATCAACTCTGCGAATGTCAACGCTTGATGAAGTCGAACAATAGCATTCATTTGATCGTATGTACACAACAATAAAATAACGACCTCCATTCCTGCAAACCAAAAATAACATTAACAAAATCTGTAACTGCATGTCGCCGAAGACTTATAACCTTCGATCAAAAAAAAAAAAAAAAACACACACACACACACACACAAGCATTAGCCACAACACCAAAAACGCATCTATATAAAACACCGAAACAACCCCCCCTCCCTCCAAAAATAAAAAAACATAAAAAAAAATACCATTACCCACACCACCCTCCGGCACACTTATCTTCTGAAAAAAATATCAGATTATTGCCGGCACCGAACGCCCACAAACACCACGACAGACCACCTAGTCTAGCAAAATACATCTACCTTGCCAATAAACCCACATTAACAATCTAATCAATTTCCCTGTAAATCACTGAATCAAATATACATATACAGAAGTGCACAATTACGTTACCACAAGTGACCAAAATCCACATCAGTATAGGAATCCACTCAAATCCTTCAAAAAAAAAGAGGGTAAATATGTTACTCCAACAATATCAAATAAAAAAAGAAAGATTCCTTTCCAATTAAATAGGACCAAATGGTTCAGAAGAAAAAACACAGGACCAAATGGAACAACATTCCCTGATTTGGGATTTATCGGTAATTTTTCCTAAATAGTATCATAGGAATTGGAGTATTAGGCGATTAGGTTTGTCTTAGTTATTTTCATTCTTCATCTAATGATAATAGATAGTTTTATTTTAGGGTTGAATTTAGAATTT